TTACATTTTTGTTCTTGGGTTTAGATTTCCTTAAAAGGTGATGTCTGGAGTTCAGCTTCAAGTGTGTAAAGTTTGAAAACAGCTCCCAGGAATACAACAGCTACATGTTTTACCAAAACAAACTTCTATCTGTGGAGTAAAAAAGTGCAACTGTTACTGGATTGAGTTTGAGAACACATTTCCAGCTCCTTTAACCTAAACAGCAAAGTATGTTTTTCTAAATAAATCTACTGCAACTTCTAGTACGCTGACTGCACTACAAAAAGTAGTGATTTATGTGCCAAATTAAACGAATGCACTTGGTACTTGCAGGCATTACAAGGTGCTGTACTATGCTAGCAATGTCAGTGTATACACTTTGGTGAACCAGACAGATAAATGTCTTGTAGCTAACAATATGTGAACAGTAACAGTAAAAAAAATAGACCTAATCTCCTTCTAAAGAGACAGAGAGTGAGATCTAATATGATCAGATGGCAAGACCAAAAGAGATAAATTCAAATGTTTTACCGATCAGAGACAACCTCTTGTATCTCTTGTAATTCTAGAAAAAAAATGTAACATACCTAACACATTTCATTGGTTCAATGGTTACTTTCCAACCAGAAACCCATTCATACTTTTCTGTGACCACACAGTACAAAGTTTATCATTGGACGTTGAATCTTATAAATTACTAGTCCACCAGATAATATGCAAAAAGTGGTCAGAGTAGGATTTAAAGGAACTGAATAATGTAATGGAAAGATAGAATTGTATGAAAACTGTTCCTAGGCTGACACTCAAAAAACTATGCAATGCATATCTCTTTTACATCCACAATTCATTCATTTACGTTCAGACGGAAAAACTATTGATTTATTTATGGAAAATCTTTATAGACATGATCAATTATTTTAAGCACTTAAAGACCTGCTACATATAAACATACTGTAGGACTTGTATAAAGTTCAAAAAAATTAACACAAGTTAGCAGATCGCAGAGCTTCCTGCTGTCATTGCTCCAAATTGCACTCCCAACAGGAACAGCTGTTAGCATGACAGCTCAAGTCCTAGTCTGATGCACAGGAGCCAGTCAGCAGAGCTCCTGTCACAATATCTGGAAATCCGTGCCGGATTTTCGCTTTGCTCCCTGTTTCTGGGCTGTCAGCCTATGGTGTCTCACAAGGCTGCAGCCAATCTGCTCTCCTCCCCTATTTAGGACTTCCTCACTTGTTGCTCTTGGTGCGAGCAACAAGTCTTTTGCCTTGTTCCGTACCCCTTGTGTCTCTGACTACCCCTGGGATCCTATTCCCTGCACTTGCTATTGGATCCCTGTGCCTTTATGCTTCCCCCTACCAGCTGGTATCCCTGTTTGGCGTTATCCCCTGCTTTGATCCTTGCACCCCTACTATAGTATTTCAGTGGTTCCTTTAGTATATTGTTGCAGGCCTTATTTGCCTTCACCTGTGCGCCTCTCAAAACTGCTTTCATTGTCTAAATTCTACAGTGTTTTCCCTCTCCAGTCTTTGTCTGTTTGCTTCCTCCTATTTACTGCTTGTTGTACTTCTACTCCGTCACTTACCTTCCAGTGTATCTTCCTTTGCTTTGCTGTTACCCCTTTATTTCTGTGCTCCTCTCTTACCTGGTGGCTGTGTTGGATTCATCCTTGTCTGCACACCCCTGTGTGCATACATCCCTGTTGTGCTTCTTTGTGTACTTTTCTCTCTTATCCTGCTTCTTTGTATGCATGTGCCACGCACATCTCATTTACTTTTGTACGTTGCACCATCCTGCTCCTAGGTGTGCCTCTAAGCTGCTTACCCTTCCCTGGTGTCCTTGCTTATCTATTCTCTTCAGTATACTCTGCTGTTCTGCTGTGCGTTTGCACTTTTGCTTTAGACTTTCTCTCTCTCTCTCTCCCTCTTCCTGTCTTCCTCCTCCTTGGTTACAAGTTTCTTCCCTACCTGTTTTGTATCCAGTTCCCCACTGCTTCAACTAGTCCCTTGCGTCTGTGTGGGTGCGCTAGAGGGCCGCAACCTGGAAGGTGTCCAGCAGCCAATCATCCTCACCACTAGAGGCTCTGTCGAATACCTGGCCCTTCTTAGATTCTGCGCCTCTAGTGCGTCCTCAGAACGCACAGACCATTCGTTCCTCTCTCCCTGTGACCTACATCCCCGATATCCCGCCTCTTTGTGACTCCTACCAACTCCGCAAACACAGGAGCTCACGTACCCTAGTGCCCTGGTCCATAGACCGTGACAGCTCCTGCTTGAATGATCATAATAACATGCAGTTACAGTGTTCATTCAATGTAACGTTATATATCTCTTATAAAGCCATACTGCTGCAACACTTATTTAAAATGACAGAATGGTCCTTTGATCTGATCATAACGCAAGCTGCAGAAAACCTGTGAAACAAAATTAATTTCTATTTTACCCCTAGTTAACGTTGATTAGCTTCGCATTAACACACACACTTCTCTCCTTAGGTAGCTTTTTAATCTTTTAAAAACAAAATTTTAAGTATATTTTCTTTTTTAGTTTCAATAAAATCACCAAGCAAGGTACACTTACAGGCTAAGTTTACTTTTCTGACCATGTTTCATGTTACAACGATATTTAGGTTGTATCATGAAACATGGTCAGATCTCAACCCCCCTCTCCCATTCACACACACTAACCTGAGTCTTAGGGTTCGTCTCCCTGCTGTTCATTTTTTTAATATGGCATGGCCATAGTATGTGCCCATAGGAGACATTTGTAGATCACAATTGAATAAAAGTGCCCTGACACATTTGCACTCATTTCATTTTTCCTCCCATCCATATTACTGAATGTCTATACCAATGTATGGACATGGAAAGGAGGAAGAGTCTGTAGGAGCCAGAGGATTGCACCCGTGATTCACTGATCACAGCTGCAATGCTTTTCTGGCTCCAATGCAAAAAAATAAATATTAAATGCACATTTATCTTTTAATGAAAAAGTGTGCCTTGATTCTTTTTTCTAAAAGGTGGAATTTCCCTTCATCATATAGTAAAATAACATTTGTGGTTTGTAGCCACAGTAAAACTATGGGGCAAAACAGAGAATCCAACATTGATCAAATATTCACCGTAGGTCATTCTATCAGGTACATGTTTTTTAATATCAGCGATTGATTTACCATGAATGTTAGTTGGAAATCACATTCACTGCTTTTGATCAACAATCAAAAATCGGTTCCTAATTTTTGTTAATGGAGCAATAAGAGTGCAAATCCAAATGTATAAATAGTGTTAAACCAGCCCGTCTCTGTGAGATTCAAATTAAAAGGTAAACAAAATGGGGAACTTACTTGTAATACCCGGAGTCCGGGTGCGGGGCGTACATCATTATCTATGGCAACAACCAAACATTTCCCACCACTCACTAACATTTCCCCCTCATTGCCACACACCTAGAGTGAGTGTGCAACACCTGCCCAAGCCATCAGAACACAGCGACATTCCTTTCCCTAACCCTTCACCTTTGGAACTCCGCCCTCCTGTCTTTTTTAAACTCGGCGGATCTCCCGCCAATGTTACCCACTTCTTCTTTTGAGCTTGAGAAAGAGGACCTCCTCGAAATGCGTTGCTCCTCCACCACTGAACATTTCCAATCGAACACTGTCCAGTGCACGTCCTTTCTTGGCCGCATGCCGCCCCTACCCCATCACTTTAAAAACTACCGCCGCAAATACCAGAGGCACACAATTTACACAGCCTTCTGACAAGTGCCTAACCACCTCCTTAGCCTCACCACCAGCCCTCCGGCACACACAGCCCCTTGGTCCCGATCAGTCCAACGCTTCACTTTGACCCCCAGTCCCACCAACACGCCAGACGTTACAACTTCCAGCAGCCACGTCCAGACCATAGGACCTGTCCCGCTCTGTCCTTACTCCCCTCTCTCCCTACCAAAACCACATCTGGTGGCCACTACAAACCCACAACATCACACACCACTCCTTGCATAGCCAGATCCTCCATCGGGGCTGCCCCGCACCCGGACCCCGGGTATTACAAGTAAGTTCCCCATTTTGTTCACCTTTTGATTTGAATCTCACAGAGACGGGTTGTCTCAACACTATTAATACATTTGGATTTGCGCTCTTATTGCTCCATCATCACGTTCACAGGTTCCTCCTCCTGTTCTTAGAGCAGCACTCCACACTGACCACATTCACACATGCCCCACACCTTCATGAAGCGCTGTGCTTTTTTTCTTTGTTGTTATTTTTTGTTAATGTACATATAAAAATTTACAGAATTCTGGGAAGGCAATAACACCAAAGGAAAGCTTTAAGTGTCCTAAATAACAATATATATGAATTCTTTACCACATGCAATGATCTTATTGCTTAATCAAGTAGGACACATAGCTAAATGTGTAAACACTGGTCTGGTTCTTAAGGGCTAAACAGCTGCTAGTCCTGAAGTGGTTAAATTATCACTCTCTTAAGATTTCAGATTTAGTAAGGGACCTTAATCTGTTCACATAGGACTGATGATGTATTCCTTCTACATGGTAAGCCCCAAATTTGATGCTTCTGGTGCTACACCATCAATGTATTTCTTTTTGTTTCATTAAAAAGAACAGAAGACAGTCATTTGTTTAAAATCAAGATTGCCTGGAGTTCTTCTTTAAGGGTTCTTAAACCATCATTAGAAAAATCTAAGTTTTTCAAGGGTTTCACCGAGGGTTTGAAAAAGAGGTACTGACTATGTCCTGAGCTCAGGCCACAGTTCAACATCCCTCAGGCCATACCAATATCCTCAAACAATGGATTTCCCACACCTTCCAATTAACTTCCTTAAAGAGTGATGTACTAAAGCACTAACACCAAGCAATCATGTCAAAATATGTACAACAATCCTTTATTAAATATCATAACATACACTAAAAACCACTTAACTTAAAATAAAGAATATGTTCTAGCATTATATGGAAGACAAGTGAAAGTCAAGTTCAGAGAATTTAATTTTTTATCCTTACCTAATTTTGGCAATGAGTATGGAACCTTGAAGTAATCTTCATAAAATTCCAAAAGTCTTTTTGTAATATTGAGAGCATAGTCTCCAGATCCCCTTCTCACTGCATCAGGTCGTGCATACAATCTTACCTGGAAAGAGAAGCAAATGTCCAGTTTAGTGACTTTTTAAAACCAGCAATAATTGAGACTAGCATGCAGACACAGCTTTATACAAATGGCAGTTTTTCCTGTTATCTAAAATAACATGTATTCTTATCACTAACAAAAGTGTAGCCAGAAGTATTGATAATTATATAGGTACATAGGTCCTTAATTAGTCAGTCTGCAACCTCCTAACAAGCTTCTACTTTGTGCGATATAAAGAACGTATCATGAAAGTCCTTACCAATTAATTATCTCTATATAAAAACTCATTGCTTATTATAAAAAAAATACTTTGCTACTGTGCAATCTAAATCTATTTTAAAGGAAATTCTCACATACAGTTGTGAAAGAGATAATGCTACAATATATTAGCTGAATGAAAAACATACTGATGTGTTTTTTTTTTCTCATAGCCCTTGAAAAAGAACTATTGTTAGATAAAACACTACAGCACATCTCATGTAATATTTCCCTGCACATTTCATGAGAAACACTACTGTAACCAAGTAAACCATTTTAAGATTGTTTAAATTATTGTATCCCCTTACAATCACTTTTGCTGAGATACCACTGTTGTGCATTTTCCTAAATATCATGTTTTTTTACATTTTAGTTCTAAAAGAAAACTTTAGTATGAAAATGTATTGTTATTTAAATTATTTTCAATTATTCAAAGAGCTCTGATAAATAACAGAGCTGTCACTCTGGAAAATAATTACAGTGAGCAAATTCTATTCACAAGGCAATATGAGAGTTTATTCTACAAGGAAAAATCCACCTTTAACTTCACAGTGGGTGCTTGAAAGGAGAGATGATATCAGAAAACACAGCAATACAACTCTAACTAGAGCTGTGACATCTAATAATAATTTCTAATATCCGCATGAACCCTGTGGATGTACACTGAGTGTTGGAATAAATATCAAGTTATTCTAATATAGCACTAGGCTTTATGATAAAAATGGTCAAACATCTTTGTATAGTAATTATAAGTCAATAAGAACAACCAAGAAAATACCCAGCATTTGACAACAGAGCCATAGCTAGCTCCTTATGCGTCTGAGGCAAGGACAGAAAATTGTGCCCCCCCCCAACAGACGTGTGCGGTATGTGATGTCATGCGCTCCACCTCCAGGATGGCGGCGCGCATGCGCAGAATGCGCTGGTGGCCAGAATAGCAGAAAAATGTGTTTTATTTGACAACATTTATGAAAACACTTTTAGTTTCCGTTCATTTCATTTGAAACTAATTTTTAGTCTTTGCACATGTCTACTAATATGTGTGTGTGTGTGTGGGGGGGGGCAGGGTTTTTTTTAATTTATTTTTTATTATAAGTTTTTTTTACTGTTGGGGGTGGCTTCACGATAATATCGGGGGTCTAAACCCTTGACATTTCCCTTTTGAAATACAAAAAGAGATTTGAAGGCACAGAGTCCTCTGCCCATACAGGTGAGGAGAAGGTGGAGCCTGTGCCACTACTCTTCTCCCTGCTGAACCGCGCCTGTGTTGGCTGCCTGGTACCCCTATTGTCAATGGTGCTCTGTGCTCACCATGGCAACAGGGGCGAGGAGACGCAGCCCTGGCTGCGCCCCCTCTCAGCTGCGCCTGAGGCGATTGCCTCACCCGCCCCATGGTAGCTACAGCCCTGTTTCACAATACCTTTAATTAATATTAGCTATATTGGAAACGACTATATTGGTGCTTAATTTCAAGAATAAGTCTAGCCAAAATTGATATTTCTATTTTAGGAAACACTATCATGCTGTTACCCAGTGGTTTGTAATATCTGTTGAAGACACCAGTGAGAAGACTTGTGTAGTTAGCTACACCCATCTACTGTATTCATTTTTAGATTTAGTGGAGTTAGCGTAAACCTTACCCAAAAACATGTTTTATTTTTATTTTTTTCACAGAGAATGCAATTGACTGTTAAGAAACCACAACATTTGGCCAAAAGAAACAACATAAGATTACAGTCACTTATTATTATAATACAGGATTCATATAGCTCCAACTGTTTGTGCAGCACTTTACAAAAGGGAGAAACAGTACAGTTACAATACACTTCCATACAAGAGGATTAGAAGGGCCCTGCTTATGAGAAGTTACAATCTAAAAGAAGGGGCAAGTGACACAGAAGGAAAAACTGTAAGGGATGCTGATTAAAGTAACAGACATAAAGTTTTCAAGAGGAGTTGAGATAGGGTTCCTTGAAAAGGTGAGCTTATAGGGATCATCTAAAGGCAGACAGAGTAAGAGATAGCCAGATAGATTGGGGTAGGGAGTTCCAGAGGGTAAGAAGTCCTGGAGACAAGTATGGGAGGAGGTGATGAGGGAGGTAGAGAGCAGAAGGGAGGAGAAGAGTGGACAGTTTGGGTGATATTTTGAGATTAGTTTGGTGATGTAGCTGGGGGGCAGGAATATAGATGGCTTCATATGTTGTTAGCATTTTGAATTTTTCATGTTGGGCTATTATAAGCCAGTGGAAGGATTGGCAGAAGGGGGGTGGGTTGCGGCTACCGAATGGTTTGTAAGTCTAGCAACAGCATGCATGGTAGACTGAAGGGGGATAGCCTCTGTAGAGGTAGGCCAATGAGCAGGAAGTTGCAATAATTAAGGCAAGAAAAGACAAGAGTGAGCAAGTAGCTTTGTGGTGTCATTTGTTAGTAAGGGGAACATTTTGAAAATGTTATGCAGCAAGTTAGGGCAGCAGGATTTGGTCACTGATTGGATGTGTGTCGTGAAGGAGTGGTCAAAGCCCAGGATTACACTTAGCACTCTGGAAGGGGTGTTGGGACTGATAGTTGCACTATTGATCTCTCATGGAGAAATCTGAGGAGGGAACGGAGGGGGATTGGTTGTTAGGAAATATTATGAGCTCAGTTTTTGAGGTTTGAGGAAGCAATGCAACATTCACACTGATATGTCAGTTAATAAACTAGTGATGTGTGATGAGATTAAAGGAGAACTATGAGGCAAATGAAAATCACTCAGCCTCATAGTTGTAGCCGACCTGTGACAATGAAACTGTCACAGGTCGGCTCAATAGATCGGGAAGTGAGCAAACACGTACTGTCACTCGCTCACTTCTCGATCTATCCCTGCAGAGAGACGCCCTGCAGGGATTTCCCCCTCCCCTGTCCGTTCCTCCAGTGCTGACTGGTGGAACGGACGGGGGGGGGGGCGGGTACAGCTGGCTCTGCCTCTAGATAGGCAGAGCTAGCTGTCAATCAGGCATCTGGGTGGATCTCGACAGTAATGTCGGGATCCGTCCTGGCGTCTCAGTATATTGCAAGCTGTAGCTTGCGGTATACTGAGCTTTGGGTGACGGGAGGACGCTAGTTTGTGTCCTCACGTTACCCTTAGGAGAACTAAGGGGAAAAGCCCTGACCCCAAAGTTCTCCTTTAAGGTGAGCTGAGGAGTGGATAAATAGATTTGAGTGTTGTCGGTATAGAGATGGTATTGGAAACTATGAGAGGATATTAGCTGACCCAGGGAGGATGTGTAGATAGAGAATAGAAGGGATCTGAAGACAAAACCCCAGGCAACCCCTATAAAAAGAGGGAGAGGAGAGGATGAGGTAGAGTTGTAGGTGACATTGAAGGTGAACTGAGGTAGATAGGACCCTGGATTAAACGTTGGGTCCGTTTTTTCATTTTTTTCTAATTAAAGGAATTGTCAAAAACTGTGTATGTGTTTTTTGTTCAACTAAAGTATTTTTCCAAACGTCTGGGCTGTTTTTTACCTTATCTTTAATAAGGGGTACAAGTACCCCTTACTCATTCACAAGGGGGGGGGCAGCATCTGGGTGCCCTTTTTATGAAAGGGGGTACTCCGATGCAAATAATCCTCCTGCCCACAGACCCCCACAACCACCAGGCCAGGATTGTGGGGAAGAGATCCTTATCACCATGGGGACAAGGTGCTTTCCAGGGTTACCCCCCGCAAAGCACCCTCCCCATGTCGAGGGCATGTGACTTGGTATGCTGTAAGGGGGGTTCTTGCTCATGCCCTGCCAGGCCAGTGCCCGGATTAAGGGTTGGGTTGGGAATTTTAGGGGGGGCCCCATGCTTTTCCCCCTCATTTTTTGGTGTTGGGTTTTCCCCTTAAGATTTCTACCAGACCTCTGGAATGGTTTGTGAGGGGGACCCCATGCTGCTTTTTTTTTGTTTTGTTTAAATTTTGCAGGAAGAACTTAGCTTTGGCAGACTATTCTCCCCACTTCGGCTGTGTGTTCGGCTCAGCCGAGCCAAAGCATATGCATCTGGCTCAGCTGAGTGCTTCAGCTGCCTTTGGCTGCTGTACGGGCTATCGTGAATAGGGTTCCTGCACCCGAAATGAACCGAAGGATTAGCCGGAGGTGCAGCCTAATCCTTCGGCTCCATAGTGAATAACCCCTAAATCTCACAATGCACATGCTCTTGAAACAAACTGCAAAGTATTATACTGTTGGCTTGGGATGCACCGATGCCACTTTTTTAAGACCGAGTACGAGTACCGATACTTTTTTCAAGTACTCACCGATAACAATTACCGATACTTTTTCTTAAAGGGACAGGTCACATTTTTTCTAAAGCAATACAAAATCATGATTTTAGGTCAGTTTCTTAATATTATGAAGAACATGAACATGAAATGAACATGAAATGAATATTTATCATGCCATTGCTAACTAAGGCTTGTATCCCCATAGTGGGGAAAATAGATGAGCACATGTAGAGACTCCAGACCAGAACACTGTATAGTGTGGCACAGCTATATGCAATTCTGCATACCTGGCTTTATATTATAAGAACTTTATAATATAAAGCCAGGTATGCAGAATTGCATATAGCTGTGCCACACTATACAATACCGTGTTTCCCCGGAAATAAGACACTGTCTTATATTTTTTTGGCTCAAAAAAACACACTAGGTCTTATTTTTGGGGTAGGCCTTATTTATTTATTATTTTTAAATGTACAACAATCCACGTGTATTCAT